GTTGAGAAGCTTGCTGAGAGCCTGGCTGGTTGAGAAGCTTGCTGAGAGCCTGGCTGGTTGAGAAGCTTGCTGAGAGCCTGGCTGGCAGGTTGGCTGGCTGAGAGATCTGCCAAGGGGGTGGCTTGGAATCTTGCCGAGAGGTGGGCTAGTTCCCTGGTTTAGAGGTCACCTCGAAGGCTCACTAATGGATCGCCTGGGAGGCTGGCCGAGAGACCCACAGGCTAGCTGTCTCAAAGGCCAGCTGGGAGGCTGGCCAAATGACTGCGTGAGAGGCTGACCCAGAAAAGGGCTGGGAGGCTGGGCTGGCTGAAATGCTGGCTGGCTGAGAGGCTGGCTGGCTGAGAGGCTGGATTAGACGCTGAGTTGCTGGCTGGCTCAGACACCTCAGAGCCCTGGTCTATGGATTTTCTTAACTATCAACTGACTCTGGACAGGTAGGGCTCTAAGAATCTATAAATGAGCTCTAAATCAGGGGTTCCCAGTACATATCAAAAAAAAAGTCACTCATCCCGTAAACACAGACTAAAATTGAAAATAGAAACAGTCATGGATTGGAAGAATATCAATAAACCCTGAAAAGAAACAGCACTGCTCCTTTTCTTCAAGTCGTATGGACATTTAAAGTTCTGTAAATGTATAGCTACTTTAACTTTCATATCTGCCCAGGTACTATCAATATGTATGAAGAGAAATGGGCATAAAATGACCAGAAGTACTGAGAAAAGGTGAAAGTATCAGAAATTAACTGAGAAGTTTTAGGGTTACACCTAGAATGTCAGAAGAGTACGACTACATGGAAATTTAATTTACTAATGGAGTTATATTATATAGTCCACAATAAACAATTTAAACAAAAAAAAATAAAGCTCCAAAAAATGTAAATAAATGTTGCTTTTCTTAAAGCAGATCTCATGGTAAAATATTGATTAATGAAGACACAGCCAGAAAATGTCTGCTCTCATCAGCACATATAGCTCCCATTCTAAAATGTTATTAGTGTTTTCTCAAATGAAAGAAAGATAAAGCCTTTGTGCTGACTTAAGGTGGGAAGGGGAGTTGGCCCATTTGCTTTCTAGGCTCGTCTTTTCAGTTAAAAGTAACCAAGATGTTAGAGTGGGGCAATGTTCACCGTCAGTGGAGGAGACTGAGCTCCACCATTCTCAGGGGAGCATCTAAAAGACATTCAGCTGCGGCATCTGAGAAAAACAGGGTCCTGCCACCAAACGAGACACATGTTCTCTGTAGTAAGTACTTAGAATTATGTTTCCAGGAAACATAATTATCACCCCACCTGAGCTCTCAACCCCAAAAGGAGAAGCAGGCTGTGTGGATTGTGCAGCAGAAGTGGCCACCTTCACAGTGAGCTCTCCAGAAAGTTCTCTCTAGGCCCAGTTGTCCCTGGGCTGGCTCCTGACTCTTGTGTGTCTCCATGACTCTGCTTTTCCATCATTTCCCATCTAGAAGACACACAAAGAATTCACTTGAAGAAGAATTAAAACACCAAGTTCTTTACTAGACACTCAAAACTTCATCTTAAAACAAAAACATCCTTGAAAACGTCCATCACAGTTACCTACCTGCGCTGCTTGTAGACAGCCTTCCTCTTGACCATCTCCCTCTGCAAGGTTTGAGCACAGAGCTGTAGGGAGAAAAATACATCCACTTCCTGACCTGGCAGACTAAGCCCAAAAGCAAGGGGGAAAAAAACTGCTCAGCTGTCAAGGGCCTTTCTTACAGAAGGGACGATCTGAAAAAAACCAACACATGAGAAATTGTATGTTGAGAGAGTCTAAAGGGCATGGCATTATCCACATCAGCACTGAAGGATCCTGTAGCTGCAGAGAGGAAGGCTCCTTACCTTGCGTCTGTAGTAGTTTTCTACTCACCACCAAAGCTCTTGGGTGTCTTGAATTATTTTCCTATGGTTTAGAATCACTTTCATCAAATAAGCACCATTTCAGTATGATTTTTAAATAATCTGCCATGTTTCTGTTATCCTTACAACTGTGCCCTTACACTAGCTATACACAGAAAATGTATTTCACAGGGTTTTCAAAGTACAGTATGATCAAAACTGTTGCTATAATGATGCCTCCTCTTTTACTTCATGCCTGCTGGGTTCTGAGTTGACAATGTCCTTACCCACTGGGCACCATTGGGTACCTCATCCTTCATTGGGCATCTTTGATTATAAAGCTCTAGTCTCCTTGTATTAACATCCTTGCCATATTTCACAGAGTAGAAACAGCTGGGCACAGTCCGTTTGAAAAAATGTGGTTGATCCTACAACACGCTTTTCTAAGAATGACGGCGACGGATACCAGCCCTAGAATGGCAGAAATGAACTGAGTTTCTACACAGTCTGACCCGACTGGGGTCAGGAGATGTTTTGCTACTTCACGTTTTGGTCACTGGTAAATCTGAAGGTATTTTGTTTTCTCTTGTGTGAATTCTCTCTCTCTCTAAATACGTCTTCTGACCACTTGTTTGTATTTCTGTCTTAACTGGGTCTAAACATTGTACAAAAGTTAAAAGCAAAACACTCCGATGGAAGTTTCCCATGTGGCTGGTGTTCAGTTTCTGAACTCACTTGAAGGTGTGTATTTTTTCCATAACCAATTTCCCTTTTTCCTCCACCTCTGACAGCTGCCTCTCTTTTTCTGCTCACTCACATTCTTTCATTCTCAGCTTCCTGAGATGAAAACGGAGGGAAATGCACACACATGATCCTCTTGCCCATGTGGGAATCTTTCTGCCATTCTGGCATCTGAAGGCCATGATTCAAAGGTCCCCCACAGCCTTCCCATACATGAAACAACTGATATTCAACAATAGGGAGGAAGAATTGACACCTCCCATTGACAGATTAAAAAAAAAAAAAAAAAAAACCACTCTGGCCTGCTAGCAAGTCACCTGTCATTTCCAGCTTGTTTTTGTGGCTCCATAATTCTATTCTTAACTAAATGAGGACTATTAGAAGCTTCTATGAGATGCACTATGTGTACTTCCGGGGTCAGTCTTGTGCTTGACACACTGAAAGCTCATTTTAGTTCAGTGTGGAAAATCAGATCTCACCAACTCATCACAACTAACTCCATCAAGATGGAGCAGGGGATGGCTCCTCATCTGACTCCTCCCATAGGAAGACCTGATTCTCATTTAGAGGCTGATGCCAGAACCCAGACAGTCAGCCTTTGAGAGATCCTTCCAGGACATGATGTCATTAACCCTGCAGTTCACTACTGCATGTTTCCATGATTCAGGACTGGAACTCTGGTCATCGACCTGAGGGCAAGAAGCTGTTCTTCCCCTTTCCAGGACAAACTCATTTCCATACTGTGGAGATTCCAATAGATAGCATAACTTCCTGGCTATGCCTGTTGGACCTCCAGGCTGTCTGCTGCAGATCTGTGGATCCGTCATTTACATTTCATGGCTTTGAGATAGACTTGAGAAAAGACATCTAGGAAATAATAACTGAAAAATGACGTGAGTATACTTCACACCTGAATTGTACACTTCGACATTGTTAAGATGGCAATGATCATGTTATGAATGTTTTATTATGAATATTTTACCACAGGTTAAAATGTTTAACAATCTGAAAAGGAAGTAATTATCTTCAGTTCTCTGAGTTCTAGAATTTGTAACATTTCACCTCCTGCTCCTTCCTGATCTGTAGCAGAGCGTCTTATTCTTTTCCTGCTCTATTCAGGGTTCACGTTCCCTTCTGTGACAAAAGCATTGCAAATATTTTAAAAAATAATTACAGAACTTTACCTAGAAATTCATAATTCAAATTAAAATGTGGATAAAAAATACAAATTCACAAGGGGTCGGGAAGCCAAGATCTTTTTAAAAATATTTATAAATTTGCATTACGCTATTTGTAATATATCCAAAAATATGTCCACACTGTATGGAAGAATGAGAAAAATATAAGAAAAAAGTCTTAACATTATAGATGAAAATATGACATAAAGACATGTTTATATATACACAAAACTGAGAGAGGACAGCTGCTGTAATAATAATACCTGGGTTATATTTCAACAAAAATAAACACAGACTGTTGTTTAGCCCAAGTTTATAAAAATGTTAACTTTTGAAAATTAATGTTCACTTTGCTGGTGAAACAGCTGCACTTCATGTCACATTTTCAAAGTCCATAAAGATTTGCATAACATAGTCTTCCTGGAATTGTAATTCAAACTGAGAGAACTGAAGTTAGTTAAAAACGCAATACCAAGACACCAATAACAAGAGTTCCCCTTCATATTTTAGAGCATTGCACCTAAAGCAATCAGTAGCAACCTTGGAAATCCATATGGAAAGCAATACAAACTTTCTGGAATGTATAGCCACTGCCACAAAAGGCACACATATTATTTTACAAACATCAGATTTACAAGTATTGGGGGAGAAAATGAATACAAATGTAATTCAGACCAATCCACATACCAAGACTCAGTTTTGTGCAAACAAAACCTCTCTAAAAAGCAGCCTCAGAGCTCTGTAGCACTTTCATCTTCAGCCTCACAGTGGAGGTGAGTGCAGCCTGGGCTCCTGGGAGGGACACACTCTTTCTGAGTAGCCTCTGTCTGAAAGGGACCAGAAGCTCTGGGCACAATGGTTAAAGATGTGGATCAAATGCACAAGAAGGACAAAGGCCATCTTGTCATTGGCCAGGAAAACCTCCCCCATCTTGGGCTCTCTTGTCACATCTGACAACTATCTGGATGCAGTTTATCAGTAGTGGGCTTCTACCTACATTAGACCCAATGGGGCCAGTAAAGCTTGGGTTCTAACAGTCGATGGCCATGAGCAAGGGTGAAGGTGGAAAATGCAATGAAGGAAATTTACAAAGTCTTCAAAGGTGAGGTAGGCAAAGGGAGTTTAACTGATCCATGAAAATGCAGCCAGGTAAAGGGAAAAAAATTCCAGCAAAGATTATCAAGTCATTTCCTCCTTCATAAGCTCAAAAGAAAGAACAGATTCTTCTTTGATTGGAGGTACTCATGTGAGGTGATTCTGCCTCAAGGCAGTGGCTGCTCCCCATCACTAGACTTTTCCAGATCCCTCCCTAAGAATCTAGTGGATGCTGGTCAGAAGAAATACTCTCATCTCTATAAGGTCACCTTTCTTGAGGGTAGCAGTGAGGTTTTATAATGTGAGAGTGAACACTTTCAAAGTGAAAACCTGTCATTTCTTTATATTTGGACAACCATAAGAACTTTAAAAACATTTCTGATTTGAGTAAATCAATGATCAGCACTCGACACATTTACAAAACAAAGGACAATAGAGTTCTCATTCACATCCTGCTCATGTCACTCCTAGTGACTCCCATACTGCAGACATACCCAAAGAATACAGCCCTTTTTTCTGTCACCTGATGGGCTTCTCAGTTTCCCATCACACTAATTTCACACAGACTCCCTGGAGGCAGCTCCCAAGAGCAGAAGACATGGATGAATCAGAAGTTCCTAAAAAGTTATCAAACTGGATGACACAGAACTCAAGTGACATTTCACTTTGTTTTTGTTTTGTCTGAGACAAGGTCTCACCCTGTCGCCCAGACTGGAGTGCAATAGGGTGATCGTGGCTCACTGCAACCTCCATCTCCTGGGCCCAAGCAATCCTCCCACCTCAGCCTCTCCAGTAGCTGGGACTACAGGCATGCATCACCAGGCCCAACTGATTTTCTTTTGGAATATTTTTGTAGATACGGGGTTTTGCTGTGATGCCCAGACTGGTCTTGAACCCCCGGACTCAAGCGATCTGCACACCTTTCGGGCCTTAAAGTGCTGGGATTGTAGGTATGAGCTGTGTAATTTCATGCCTCATGACACAGCCCAACGAAAAAGAAGAAACCCTGTGGGTCCAGTATCTATTCACATGGGTGGACTGATGGCTGGAAAACCCCAGCAAGAGAAGCCAAGGCAGCACCCACTACACCCACATATCTTGGTCCTCTCAGGGCACCCTGAGGTGGCCAGGACAAAGGTGGGGGTGGCTTAGGGCTGGGGAAGGGAAAGGAATGGGGATGAGAGTGGGATCGCAGTTGAGGTGGAAGAGAGAAGTGAAGGGAAAAGGAGAGAAGGGAAGGGTGGCCGTTGGGCACCTGGAGGAGGAGGAGGAGAAGGGGCTCTGGGAAAGTATCCAGTTCAAACTAAGCCCTCAAGCACTGGGTGGAGGACCAGCTACAAGTCAGTGAGAAAGTCGATCAGCAAGGCAATGGGACACGCGGGGCAGGAGAGCGGGAGGCTTAGGAGCAGTTGGAGGAAGACCAGGGCTCTGGGTTCCGCCAAACCTTCTCCTGTCTGGTCCTGCCTTAGCAACCCTGGGGCATTATACCTCCTCTCCATCAATCCCTGGCCCCAGAATGTGGTGCCTTACAGTGGACATTCCATGTGGTGCCTGAATTCTTCCACACCCCCTCCCCAACCTGAGAACCCAAGCACCATCCCAAGGACAGATCCTCTCTGGAACCTTCTCAGACCTTCAGATTTCTGGTCCTCCCCAACCCAGCTCCCTATTCCTACTTCTGGTCCACTCCTTCTTTCCTGAGCTTGGCTGCAAAACATAAAAAACAAATGATGGCAGGATGGCAGGAAGAACCTCATGTACAAGCAGAGTACGAGACTCCATAGCCCCCTCTCAGCTATTTACAAGCAACAAAACATCAGTAGGATGCAGAAGGTCTGAATAGTGAACCCTCTCCAGCACATACATGTACCATCCATCCATCATCCTTGTATCTTGGGAACAAATGTTGGAGATACATTCATTTTAAGCAAATGTGGTACATTTACAAAAATTAACCGGACTTGTTTTGTTAATCAAGCAAATCTCAATATATTTAAGAGAAATCAAATCACATAGCATATTTCTGATCATATAATTGTGTGAGAAACAATGATAAAAAGCTAAGCAAAAACTTTTATATGCTCGGAAATTAAAGTGCCCTTATAAGTAAGATATAAACATGAGAAAGAATCCAGAATGAAACAAAACTGCCTTTGCACTCAATGATAGGATCATAATATGGCAATAGAATGTTTCTCTCTGGTCTGGGTAATCCACTTTGTGGCACAAGGTTGTGTGGTCTCAAATCACCCCAACCCACCTAGGTATTTTAACATCTGAAATGGAGTGATGATGTCACTAATCTGTGTCATCTTACTGCCTGTGAGTGTGGACTTTAAATTTTGAACCCTAATAAGGGAAAGAAAACCAAATTGATTTCCATGGCTGACCTCCCAGGGATGTCCAAGGATTCTGTACTTTTCAAGAGACAAAGATCTTCAGCTTCTCTCCTGGGCCATTTGGCCACAATACCCAGAGGGTTTGGCTGCCTCATGAGTGATGGGTGGGGAGTGTCAGACAGGTAGACAGAACCCAGGGGCCCGGTGATGAGAACAGACCCCCACTGTCCATCACATTTTCTGGCCCTGTCCTCAGCTAAATTTCCCAAAGGCCTTCTTCTACCTGATCGCACAGAATGTGCTTAAACTTACTCAGGCCTCTGGCAGCTTAAAACCACTGCTTGAAATCCCTTTACCATTTACTAGAACATAAAGTTATTGTAAACGGGAAATATACTGTTGATGCTACAAATAGTCAATGCCTTTACCAAAAATAGAAAGAAACCCTAAGAAACAAGCAAAACAAAAACAAAACAGGTATAACAAAACACTGGAATGAAATTCTACCTGTATGCTGTTGCCTGCATAAAGAGCCCCAGATTTGGGTTGTATTAGTTGTAAAAGAAGAGATCAAGTGAAGGGGGGGTTGAAGTCAGATTAGCCCAAAAGTGAATGGTACAGAGTACCATGATGTCCATGAACGTTTGCCAGGGTTGTCTTGATTATAGCCCAAGCAGAGACAGGGAAAGAAAGGAGATGTGAGCAGAGTTTGAGGCCTCAAACAGGGGAGGTTATTCATGCAGCCTAGGAAAGGTTCCCAAAAGCAGGGTCAACCTCCTTTGCAGGCAGGTCCCTTATGGAAGCAGAGCCAGGCATCTTGGATTTGAGACCAGCTGTGTGACCCTGGACTGATTTCCTTTCATACAATGAGAGTGCCAGCGGCTGCATGCAAAGACTGTCTGAGGATAGGAGGAAGCAATCTGTTGAGCACCTGTGCACCTGAGTATCGTCACCCCCCAAGGGCATCTTTCCTTCCAGAACTCGTGCCTTGGAAGGTCCTCGGACACTAAAGGCAGTGATGATGGTAACAGCAGTAAATCATCATTTACCGCTGAAGAGGGAGAGCCAAGGGGTAGGGCTTCTATGTCCTGAACAGGAATGAGTGTCTGGACACTCCTGGGGACAGCTGAGTGACCTCTGTAGGGCTCATAGGTCTCCTGGGGCAGGTCCATCTTCAGTGGCATTGGGCCTAGGCCGGGATGTTGAGGCAGCCACTGGAGCATCAGCAGTACAGGCAGGCACAGAGGCAGTGGATCCAACAGAGGTGGCAGGTTTGGGATGGTCTGGTAAGCGAGTAGTGTCACCAACACTGGCTGACCACTACCTCCCACAGAAGATGCCTGTCCCTTTCCTCACACTCCAGCAGGGCAGAGGCTGGCACCTGGAGCCTCATGGAGCATCCCTGAGACCTCTGTGTCATTAAATGGGCACTTGAGTCACTCAGGGCTATTGGAACAAGGAGGGAAAATCAGACCCCAAGATGTTTTGGGAAAGTATTTAGCAAAGCACATAATACACCCATGACACATGGGCACTGATATTGTGGGAGCTAATATTTTATGAACTCCAACCCTAATCTGAGCACTCTCACCTGTGCAATCTGAAAGAAACGGGAGACCTTCAGGAAAGATAGTGTCTGAGTTTAACTTAAAGGAACTAAAACGTTGGAATTTTTTACACTCCTTACACCCTTCCAAGTCAACTCTTTCAATGCTCCCATCCTTACCACTATCATGTGAGTAACTGGGGCAGTCAGGGATTTACTGACTTAATGTCACTCAGTCGATTTTAAGTTCACTGCTGATTACGTCTGACCAATCTCGTTTTTCCAAACTTCACTCTGTTTAATCTTGCTGGTGATAATTTTGTGCAGCTCTGGGACAAACTACACCTGGTTAAGGATAAAGCAAATCCACGGTGACTTAGTCCTGCTATCATTTCCCATCAATTCCCCACTCTTTTCCTCTGCCCCTCCACAGTCTCCCACATAGGCTGACACCATATGTTGGCCTTAATTGAGTCCCCAGGTATTTCAGGCTCTCCCGTGGACCCTTTGAAGGTGGATGTAGCCATGGGATTTGCTTTGACCCAGGAGATGTGAGTGGAAGTGAAGCATATAACCTTGAGGCAAAAGAGTTGGGAGCCATTGAGACTGACCACCCTCTCCTTCATCTCTCAGAGCAGCTGGCAGGTCCCACATGGAGGCTGCTCCTTTATTCTGGTGGCAGAATGAGGGGATATAGAGCACAGGGGCCAGGAGAGCCATGGAGGACATGCAGCATGAGCGGGAAAGAGCTTTCAGTGTTGTACATTTCCATTGTTTGGGGCTGTTTGTTACCTACAGTGATACCTAGCCCATCCTAGCAGACACGCACCATCTACTCCACACTCTGTGAAGCGGGCTATACTATCTCAGGTTGTAGAGGGCATTAAGTAAAGTAAAAATGCATGTAGAGCATTGAGCCCATGGCCTGGCATGCACAGTGAGTACTCAGTGTCAGCCATGTAGCTTCATAATGTGTACTGTCAGTGCTCAAATAATGCAGCCAAGTATTACAAAGAAGGAAATGTAAACCTTTTTGCATATGTATTTCTTCAAACTTTATTTTCAAACAGATAGGATAAAACTATGTATTTTTTTCATAGCCAGTGTTTTTCTCTTAATAGTATATTGTTAAAATATTTTATCTCAAGATTTTTTGAGATTATCATTTTAAATTACATGATAATGTTCAATTTAGTGAATAATTTAATTATTATTATTGGATTTTTGTAGGTTGCACATAGCATTTAAAACAACTGAAGAAGAATAAAAAATAAGAATGTATTACATATTGTAAAATTAATATGATTTTGTTAATTCTTTTATTCATATGTATAGGACATATATGTGTAATACAGAATGCATTTCTTATTATAAGTTATGTTAAAAAATAGTTTACAAGCTGTTGATTTGGATTTCCTTTTCAAATTTTGCAGGATTATAAATAACCTTTTTAAGTATTGCTGGACCCTTATCTGTTTTAGGTTAACATGTCAGCAATAATTCCTTTTGAGTTTCTGACACAAGATAGCGGTTTTCATCCAAATAAGTCAACTACTTCACCCCATCCCTAAGCCACTCAGATAGAAGAAAAAGCAAGTACTGTGACTGCCGAAGCTTCCCCAAGCATGGCCATGCTATGAGACGTGGGACAGCCAAGAACTGGGAACTGCTCAAGGGCACCAGGTCCCATCTGTCTGCACTCACTCACTTTCCTCATGTACTTGCATGGGGGATGTCACTGACTGTTCAAGGGCACCGGACTCCATCTGTCTGCGCTCACTCACCTTCCTCAGGTACTCGCATGGGTGTGTCACTGACTTTACGTGCTGCTGCAGCTCCTTGGTGAGCCGGCCCTGGTCATGGGACAAGAACCGTGGAGTCAGGACAATGAAGAGCTTCACCACCTGCAGAATGAGAACAGGGGCTCATGATGAGTGCCAATCTATTATATAGTTTTAAGAGAAAACGTTTGTCAAATTAGTGGGTGAAAAAAAGGTGATGTTTGAGTCTATAGTGGTCATAGAGCATGAGGGCTTCAGAAAAAAACAGGACCAAGTTCAAATCCCTGTACTTTGAATTTGTGCTTCATGCCATGCAAAATTACTTTACCCCTCTTAACCTCAGTTTCCTTCTGTGTGAAATGGAACAATGAAGTTTCATTCCTCATTCAGTTTCTGTCAAGATTTCATGAGATAATACATATAAAACATCCAACTCATTTAAATGTATAATCATTCCTCTCATAATTAGTAGTGGTGAGGTGGGAAATTAAAGAAAAATAAAATTAAAAAGAAAGAGAAATAAGCTTCCCTATATTAGGCTGACTTTTCCCAGAGGCAGCAACAAGCACAGCCCAGACCCAGAAAAAGCCTTGATAATACTATCTAATGTGCTCTGAGAACTCTCCCAGCACTCCCCCAACATAGTGAGAAAAAAAAACCAAATTTTCCTTTGTTTTATGGTATGAGTTTATAGATTCCTGTTCTCTGTTAGTGACTTCAAGTATTCTGTTTTATCTAAGTAGCACAGCGAAGGTCATGAGCCATCTGAGCAGACCTGAGTTATGGCCACCTGGGTACCATAGTGAAGGTTATAGGATAAGACTGTGCCTAGGCAAACCTAGATAACAGACATCTGGGTTGCATAGCAATGGTCATGGCCATGTGTAATCCTGAGCTATGAACCTGTTACAATTTAAATAACTGCCTTTGTTCTGCTTCTGCATCCTTGCTTTTATGCCACTATGCTTTGTGCCACTGTAAGCTTGTTTCAGGCTAGCCCACTCCCCTTTTTGAAGTGTGTATAAAAGTCAAGTGCTGTTTTGTTCATCTTTGTTCTGGGCCCAGATTTTGGATGCTGAGTCCGCTGGGTCTGAGTGCACTCAATAAAGATTCTCCTGTATAAACCCCAAGGTCTCTCTTGCCTTCCCAATTTTCCGCAACAGTGGGATCAATTTCACTATTACTGTGTATACAGTTCTGTGCCTGAAACCTACAAAGAAAGAAAATGTTGGCCAGGCACAATGGCTCCCAGCACATTGGGAGGCTGAGGTGGGTGGATCAGCTAAGGTCAGGAGTTTGAGACGAGCCTGGCCAACATGGTGAAATCCATCTCTACTAAAAATATAAAAATTAGCCGGATGCAGTGGCAGGCACCTGTAATCCCAGCTACTCTGGAGACTGAGGCAGGAGAATCACTTGAACCTGGAAGGTGGAGGTTACAGTAAGCCAAGATTGTGCCACTGCACTCCAGCCTGGGTGACAGAGTGAGACTCTGTCTCAATTAAAAAAAAAAAGAAAAGAAAAAAAAAGTTAACTCAGCCAGGCACGGTGGCTCACGCCTGTAATCCCAGCACTTTGGGAGGCCGAGGCAGGTGGATCACAAGGTCAGGAGATTGAGACCATCCTGGCTAACACGGTGGAACCCCATCTCTACTAAAAATGCAAAAAAATGAGCTGAATGTGTGGCGGGCACCTGTAGTCCCAGCTACTCTGGAGGCTGAGGCAGTAGAATGGTGTGAACCCAGGAGGTGGAGCTTGCAATGAGCCGAGATTGCCCCACTGCACTCCAGCCTGGGTGACAGAGTGAGACTCTGTCTCAATTTAAAAAAAAAAAAAAGAAAAAAAGAGTTAACTCAGCCAGGCACGGTGGCTTACGCCTGTAATCCCAGCACTTTGGGAGGCTGAGGCAGGTGGATCACAAGGTCAGGAGATCGACACCATACTGGCTAACACAGTGAAACCCCATCTCTACTAAAAATACAAAAAATTAGCTGGGCGTGGTGGCGGGCAACTGTAGTCCCAGCTACTCTGGAGGCTGAGGCAGGAGAATGGCATGAACCCAGGAGGCAGAGCTTGCAATGAGCCCAGATCACGCCACTGAACTCCAGCCTGGGTGACAGAACAAGACTCCGTCTGGGGAAAAAAAGAAAAGTTAACTCTAAAAAGTGCTAGTGATTTGTCATTTTTATTAATTATAACCCTTTTTAGTCACACAAGGCCTTGTACATGGCAGGTGCTCAATAAACACTTGTCGAATCAATGCATGTGCAGTCCGGAGCCACACTGTTTAGATTCTATTCTGCCTTCACCACTTATAAACTATGTAATCTGGGCAAGATAATTAACCTCTTTATGTCTGTATTTCGTTCTCTATAAAATATATATAAGAATCCCTAGCTTATTAGGTTGTTGCGAGGGGGGAATGATTTGGCACACAACAGGGGTTTGTTAAATATTAACTGTGATGATCTCCTTCCAAATCTCTATTTTCAGAGCCACAGACGCGTGCCACCTGCTGACCCTAGTGTGTAAGTGCACATGATCACCAACTATGCTCTTTTCTCCACCCAAGGTCCAAGACTGGGTAGTTAAGGCCTGGAGGTTTCTTCTGCATCTGACTTCTCACTGTCCATATAAAGACTTTTGTATTCTCTTCCTCATATTCCTGCAGATGGGGTCCAGGTTGCCCAACACAGTTGGGTGATCCTCAGGGCAGTGACCACCTATGCCAGCCCTATGAGGTAGTTGGAGGATCAACGTTCCCTCCTTCTCAGGCTCTGGGTAGATGCCAAGTCTGGGGTGACCCATGCCCTCAAGTTTCTCACTTTGGAGGGTCACATTTTCCCTTGGCAAGGAGGGTAAAGGTCACAGGAAGCCAGCGACCCGTGACCTGCCTGTGCCATGGGCCCAAACTCCTGAAAGTATGTGTTACAGGATATTGAGCAGCATCCCAAGACTCTACTCGATGCCAGCAGCACCTCCTCCCCACCATTTGTGACAATCAAAAATGTCCCTAGGCTGGGCGCAGTGGCTCACACCTGTAATCCCGACACTTTGGAAGGCTGAGGCAGGCAGAGCACCTGAGGTCAGGAGTTCAAGACCAGCCTGGCCAACATGGCAAAACTCTGTCTCTACTAAAAATACAAAAATTAGCCAGGCATGGTGGCACACGCCTGTAATCCCAGTTACTTCGCAGGCTGAGGCAAGAGAATCGCCTGAACCCAGGAGGTGGAGGTTGCAGTGAGCCAAGATCGTGCCACTGCACTCCAGCCTGGGCAACAGAGCAAGACTCCATTTCAAAAAAAAAAAAAAAAAAATGTCCCAAGATACTGCCTAATGTCTCCTGGGGGACAAAATTGCCCCCTAGTCTATAAACTACTGGTATATCCTCTAGGACAACTGGACACTTTTCCAGGGACAACCAGAGCTCTACAATCCCAGAACTCCCACTCAAAAAATTTATCCTCTAGTACTACTTTCTTAGAAACACTGTCATTTAGAACCAGCCCTCAAAAAAGAAAGAAAAGCATATTTATACTGCCTTGAAGAGAAGCTAACAAAGTTTGACTTGAAGGTTATATTCAGTTTAGCCACACCACATGAGCATCCAGTAGAGTTACAATGTATATTTGTTTCATTCAAACTCAATACATGAGGAGAGAAAGGAAGAGAGGAGCAATTTAAGAAGTGCAGGCTTGTCCACCCTCTTTTGCCACCAAAGTGCGGATGCCCAAGAGGGAAAGTGCTACGCAAGACAGAATAATGCAAATACAAATTTTCTCTTTTCCTAGTCAGTGCCAACGCCTTTGGTCCTATGTAAGCATCTTGCTCATGTTTCAACAGTAATTCAGAGACTATTCAATGATTATTCTGAATGCATATGGTTTGTGTTCTACCCACACCCTCTGGTTCATTTGGGGTCTCAGTGTTTGAGAAGCAAGCTGTTCTAGGCTTTCTCACCTGTCTTCAGTAAGGCCAGTGGTTAAAAGCTAAGCTCCAAATCAAACAGGCAGGGCCCTGCTACTTACTAATAGTGTGGCCTCGGACACTCAAGATAACCTTGCTAAACCTCCATCAACTCCATCTATAAGAGAAGATTAAGAGCCACCTCACAAGGCTGTGGTGAGAATTTAATGTAAGTGACTTGCTTGGTGAGATCACCCTGACAAGTGGGAGATGCCTGGTACACAGTATTATGAGTGTCAACTCAGCCTTTTATTATTTGGAAGGCCTTGGGCAAATTCTTTAAACTCTCTGAGCCTCAGTGTCCTCATGTGTAAAGTAGGGGTTGAGAGGAGTCTAAGAATGCTTCTAAAGCCCTTACAACCTAGCAACTGCTCAATCAATATTAGCTGTTATATCATGGGGCTCGTAATAAGCACTTAGTATCATTAATAGCATTTTGTCCCACCTTTTAACATCTTTAATAGCTAAGTTCTCCTCCATCTGTTAAAACGTAAGCTGTCAGAAATTTTTGTTATAATCACTAATGTGCCCCATATGCCTAGAATAATATCGGGCAATACAGTAGGTGTTCAACAAGTATTTGTTGAAGGAACTTTCCTAAGACTTGCCTCTCCTAGCTTCTATGCTTGCTGCTTGAATGTCCTAATTATCTTGCAGGGAAAGCACTCAGGTTCCTCTCAAAAAGGCCCCGTGCAACTCTGTCTCTCTATGAATTCAAGAGGCTGCGGCACTGCTTGACAGGAGAGGAGGCACTCACCCCAGAGGTGCTGGAGCAGTGGAGGGCGCAAACTGGGCTGGAGCTACATGAGGGCTATGGACAGACAGAAGTGGTATATTTAAAGAGCAACATTTATGTTTAATATATGTGGGGGCCTTTCTGCCCCAGGATTTTCAACCTGAGTCCCTGAAGTGCCTCCATCTCACTCTAAATTTTTACAGAGTTTCCCAGTACACCTCATCTTGCCAGTAGTTACCAAAACCGGCAAACTGCTCAGTTAGGTTTTGCTAAAGGGGTGATGATTATTATTCCATCATACCCGCCTCCCCTTCATGCAGGAGAAATCTTAAGGGCTTTAGTAGGTGGGTGAGGCTTAGAACTGAGCAGCTCATCTTTCCAACTGTGCTGGGAAGAATCATCTGAGAGCCTCTGTGGGGAATTTATTCCAAGGTGCACTTAATGGAGTCTAAGGAGAAGTTTTCAAAGTGTGGTCCTCAAACCAGCAACATCAGCATCATTTGGGAATTTGGTAGAAATGCAAATTCTTGGACCCCACTCCACACCTAATGCATTAGAAACTCTGGGATGAGGCCCATAAATCTGTGTTTCAACAATGCTCCAGAATCTCCAATTTGATTCTAAAGCACACCCATGTTTGAGAACTCCTGGTCTCAAATAGCGTATTTCAGAAAGTGTGCTTAAATACTGGGAAAATCAGTCCAAATTGAACTTAGGTTTCATTGTCATATCATTTCAGAAAATAAATTTTTGTCTACTTATGCAAAGTTTGTCCTCTCAATAGGGAATAATTTGTGCTGATTAGAAAGGAAAGAAAATTAAACCAGGCTCAATGGGGAAAAGAATGCTGCACTGTGATGTCCAGGAGGTTGAGAAAATATCTGACTGCTTCGATAAAGCAGAAAGAACGTTTTACAGTTTTCTGCTATTCACTGTACAACTCTTCACAACCTGCTGTCATTTTGTGAAAAGAAAATTTTAAGAACATCAATTGTCTTTCATTCTAGATTATAGATGAAAATGGCAATGTTCTACCACCTGGCAAAGAAGGGGAAATTTCCCTCAGACTAAAGTCTACACTGCCCTTCTGTTTATTCTCTGAATATGTGGTATGAGGATAGAAAGTGCTAGTCATGCCTTAATACAGACCTCGGTCCAAATTTCATTTCCACCATGTCTTGCTATGTAACCTTGGGCAAACAACAAAATCTATTTCATCAGCAGTAAAATGCAGAGACTATCATCTATCATCTGAGTATTATAAAGATGAAATTCCAAATGTAACAAACCAGTTGCAGTAGTTATCCTCAGAAAGGATAACTGGACAGGGTAGGATGGGGGTGCAGTTGGGGGGTGCTAGAGGCAGAAGAGTGGCTTTTTATTATACTCTTTGGGACCTTTTGTATTTTACACTAGGAACTACTTTTTTTAAAAAATTAATTTCCAGCCAGGGACAGTGGCTCATGCCTGTAATCACAACATTTTGGGAGGCCGAGGTGGGAGGGTGACTTGAGCCCAAGAATTCAAGACCAGCCTGGGAAATATAGCGAGACCCCATCTCTACAAAAACATAAAACATTAGCCAGGTGTGGTAGCACATGCCTGTGGTCCCAGCTACTCAGAAGGCTGAGATGACAGGATTGCTACAGCCTGGGAGGTCAAGGCTGCAGTGAGCTATGATCAAGCCATTGTAGTCCAGGATGGGCAACAGACTCTGTCTCAAAATATAAAATAAATAATTTCCTTTAGAAGTACAATTTGTCACTTAATGAGTGCCATACCCGTCTCTGTTCTGACCAAACTAATCCCCAAATGTCATCTGTGATTCCTAGGACAGTCCAGAGAAAACTGCTGCCATGGTAAAGGGAGATTTTTATGTCACTGGAGACAGAGGAATGATGGACAGCGATGGGGATTTCTGGTTTGCCGGCAGAGTTGATGATGTCATTATTTCCTCTGAGCTTGTAGATTTGCCACTCTTAAGAGGCAAGGATTGACAGGAAGGGAGAGCTCCTACTGGAGCATGTGGTGGTCAAAGGCTGCTTTTCCTTTTCAGGTAACATATTGGGCCATTTGAAGTGGAGAGTGCGCTTGCGGAGCACCCAGCAGTTGTCGAATCGGCTATTGTCAGTAGTCCAGATCCAATTTGCGGAGAGGTAGATGAATGTCATTAATTAAAGTAGCAACTTTATATTTTCAAGTTCTGTCCATTTGACTACGGTAAAGGCTGAACCAAAAGTGGTCATTTAATTTTCACTATGAGGCATGCATTTGGTCAAAATATAAACCAGGCAACCAACTTTACAATAAGTTGTGTCCCAAATAGGAGCTATTAGGATTCTTTTGAAGGCAAGTGACAGAAACTCAACTCAAACTGTCCTAAGTTAAAAAAAAAAAAAGACATTTGGCTCATGGTAAGTGACAAGCATTCAAGTACAGCCACATCCAAGGGTTCATGTAAGGTTGGCAAGACTTAGTCTCTCTCCATTTTTGGCTCTGCTGTTCTTTATACTGGCTCTGTTTGAGCGGGTTCTTCCTATTTGATAGCAATCAATTCCAGACTTACACAGGGTAGCAACCCTCCATCCCTCCAGGAAAGGACAGAGCTCTGTTTTCAATCATTTCAAGCACCTCTCAGGACTGCATTTGCCTACCTTAGGAGCACATCTCTCACCAGTGTGGTTCAGGGTAATTGTATATGCTGATCGGCCAGACTTGGATCATATTGTGTCCGGAATTGGTGGGTTCTTGGTCTTGCTGACTTCAAGAATGAAGCCACGGACAGTCGCGGTGAATGTTACAGCTTTTAAAGGCGGTGGCATCTGGAGTTGTTCATTCCTCCCGGTGGGTTCATGGTCTCATTGGCTTCAGGAGTGAAGCTGCAGACCTTTGTGGTATTACAACTCATGAATGAGGCGTGGACACAAAAAGTGAGCAGCAGCAAGATTAAAAAGACCGAAGGAACAAACCTCCCACAGCGTGAAAAAGGATGACAGCGGCTGCCACGGCTGGGTCACGCATCCTGCTTTTATTCCCTTATCTGACCTCACCCACATCCTGCTGATTGGTCCATTTTACAGAGAACTGATTGGTCCATGTTAACAGGGTGCTGATTGGTGTGTATACAATCCTCTAGCTAGACATAAAAGTTCTCCAAGTCCTCACCAGCTTGACTAGACACAGAGCACTGACTGGTGCATTTACAAACCTTGAGCTAGACACAGGGTACAGATTGGTGTGTTTACAAACTTTGAGTTAGACACAGAGTGCTGATTGGTGTATTTACAATCCTTTAGCTAGACATAAACGTTCTCCAGGTCCCTACCAGATTAGCTAGATACAGAGTGCCGATTGGTGCAACCATGAACCCCAAGCTAGACACAGAGTGCTGATTGGTGCATATACAATCCTCTGGCTAGACATAAAAGTTCTCCAAGTTCCCACCCGACTCAGGAGCCCAGCTGCCTTGCCTAGTGGATCCCGCACTAGGGCTGTGGGCGGAGCTGCCCGCCAGTCCTGCCCCGCACCTGCACTCCTCAGTCGTTGGGTGGTTGATGGGACCTGGTTCCGCGGAGCAGGGGGCAGCACCTCTAGGGGAGACTCCAGCATGGGCATGGCGGGCTGCAGTGCTGGGGGACCGGTGAGAATTCCAGCCTGGCAGGCCGGCAGTGTTGGGTGACCCTGCGCACCCTCCACAGCTACTGGCCCAGGTGCTAAGCCTCCCGCCCGCGCCTCTCCCTCCATACCTCCCTGCCAGCAGAGGGAGCCAGCTCTGGCCTTGGCCAGCCCAGAGAGGGGCTCCCACAGTGCAGTGGCGGGCTGAAAGGCTCCTCAAGTGTGGCCAAAGCAGACGCCCAGGCCGAGGAGGCACTGAGAGTGAGCCAGGGCTGCCAGCACGCTGTCACCTCTCAATATGTCTATCATTGGAGATAGGGGTTGGTGTCAATCCCACCAGAGAGAAGTTAGGGTAATACTCTATAGGAAAAACTACAGTAGCTACTAAAAAGGGGGAACAGATACTGTATAAGCATATGCAGATTTCACTGGATAGGCAGCAGATTTCACTGAATGGACAACTGCCATGGAACTCAGAATACATTTTCTCCCAGAAACAAGGCAAACAGAAAATTGTGGCCAGTTTCCCAAACAAGTCTCATGAGACTGTTTAGGAAGAATGGAAAGGAAACTCTGGCAATGACAATAGTCTTATTTCTAGGAAGAAGCCCTATTTTCCTAATTTCCTTTCCTCATGGACGTTTCCTACAGACACAGCAAGTGACAAAATTTCAAAACAGTTTTGTCAGCATCCTCCCACATCTGTACCTCTCCCTCTCACACACCAGTGAGCCTCTACAGTGACACTACGGGTCCCCTACTCTTACCTCTTATACCCCCTCCACTCCCCATTTATTCCATTCTCAGAAATAGTTTCCCTTTGCTGCCATGTTCTCATTCTCTCAATACAAATGATTTCAGCTGAACAGAAGTAACCACCAATTAGAATCAATGTATGAACAATGAATAATATAAATTATGCTTACTAACCTCAGTAATTATCTAATTGGTAGGTTTTAAACAGTATTACAAAGAGAAGCAAACAATATGAGGCAAGAAACGACCTTGTAGAGACACATCAATCTTTCCTGAGAGTTTTTTGCTTCATTTTGTTTTGTTTTGAGATGGAGACTTGCTGTGTTACCCAGGCAAAAGCAGGAGTTCAGTGGTGCAGTTATAGCTCAATGCAACCTCAAACTGCTGGGTTCAAGCGATCCTCCTGCCTCAGCCTCCTGAGTCACTAGGACTACACGTGTGCACCATCGTGCCCTGCCTAATTTTTTCTTTTTAGTCTTTGTAGGTTCTTCTAAGAACCTAAAAATGTTTTGTTAGAACAGTATAAATGCATGATGAACTAGAGCCTTTAATCAACTCTGCAATACTGAATCACTACTAAGAATCTTTCTAGAAATCTTTTGTCCCATTCTGTATGGGAAAAGCACAGTGGCCAAGAATGACCAACTGCCTTGTTTTTAGGGACAGCACTTGACATCTATCCTAGGATTCTTGGCCCTAATGTCCCTATAAATTCAAAGAACATGACTGTATGTATCAAGGGGCCCCATTTAATATTCAGAAAGAAGATAATATCCAAAGAAACCAGAAACTTTCATCGAATAAGGATTTAAGAACAATACTATATAAAGACATGAAGATGGCCCTGTAGTTTCCCTCTAACCGTGGAATTGGTTGATATTGACTGATCGTCTGCATGAAACTATTTCAGTTAGCATCATTTCAGTCAAAAGGTAGTTAATTTCAACCTAAGAACTACTCACATTTTCTCCATTACATTCACTAAATTAATGAACTTTGACTTTCAGAAAGGCTATTTGAGGGCATTTTAAAATACAGTAGTAGTCTTATTTTGAGAGAACAGAACAAAAAGAGGATTTTTATGGTCAAGCCAGGGCAGAAAACTATATATATTCCAAATTACCCCTAAAAAATCTTCAATCTCCAGGATCCAGCTCTGAAAAGACAAGAACTAAGTGTTCTTTTCGCATTTAGGTGTAGTCTCCATTTTCCAGGAACAGTAGAGACCTAGGACTAGTTTGAACTAGGGGAAAGCAATGGGGTAAAGGGAGTATTACTTTCTTGTGGCAAAGCATTTAAGTGAATTTGCACTACACTGTCACCCTTCTTATATAAACAGAACAGTTTCTAGTGTCCATGAGATTCAATAAGCTTAGGCTTATTATCAAGATAATCTAGACTTTAAAATTCAGTCTGAGTTTCATGCAAGCTCTCTCCTATTGCACTAACTGGAAGAATGGAATCAAATGTCTCATAATGTTTTTCTGTCAATTAGGTGGAATTTGTTCAAGAACTCCCAAAGACAATCACTGGGAAAATCAAACACAATGTTTTAAGAGACCAAGAATAGGGATGAACATAGCTTGATTAAAAAAACTGAAGGATTAAGTAGTAATATGATTGCTTTCTCTCATTATTTGTTCCTGATAATTCCGTGACTACTCTCTTAAAATGATTAAGATCCTTACTGGTTGAAGTTTTTGTTTTCTACTTAGCTAAAAAATTAAAAAATAAAAGTCTAAAAATATATGGATGAAAATTGTTTTAATAACCAAACTGACAAAGGTAATAATGGTTTCTAGTGTTTAAAATAGGAGTCAAATGATTACTTAGAAAAAGAAAGTGCACAATGAATCTGTATTTTGTGCCTGATTAAAAATAAAGATATACCCTAAATGTTCAAGACAATTTCTTCTGCTTAACAACTTTATAAGACCAAACTTTAAGACATTTAAAATACTGTTAAAATGAGGAGTATAAATAATTCAAAAATCAGTAAGTGAATTTAATGAAAGTACTGTATTACTGTGGCTCATTTTGAAGCAAATTAACTGTAAAATATCTGAAACTTGGATTTAAGGATCAAGGGTAATTAATAAATTTTCTATACTTTTTAGATTCATGTCCATGACTTTTTATAATTTGACATATAAACATCTTTCATGATATATATATATACACACTACATATACACTATATGTATATATACTATAAAGCAACAGATTTACTAAGAGTCAGAAAGAAAGAAAAAGTACAGAACACCAATTTTAGGGAACAAATTTATTTTGATTTTTCTGAAAATATCAGAACTATGAAAAACAAGCTTGATATTTGGCTGTACCAAAAGCAAAATACAAGTAAAAATAACATTTGAAAACCATGTTTAACCTTAGAGAATCATGTTTTAAAATACAAACTTTAACATTCTTTCCTCTATGGAACTAAACATTTTCTAAACGACAAGACTGTAGTTTTATTTTTTTTTTTTAACTGACGTAATTTTTTAAAAGAAAAAACAAAAGGGGAATAAAAAGCACTTACTTCCTACTCTGGAATCTCGTCATTTATAAAATAACATGCTCAAATGTCAGTGAAAATAAACAGTTGATAAACCTGAAAACAACTATTTTAATGAGTTCAGGTTACAACCGAACACAGGATTTTGTAACTGGGAAAGAATAGTTTGTGTAACAACTGAGTCTTACCAAACACAAATAAATATAAAAGGCAATTAAAAACAAAACTATAAAATCTAAGTCTTTCCATAAAGTAGCAGCTTTCACAAAGTAAAAACAATTTA